CTTCCGTCGCCGAACCTTTCCCGATTTCTCTTCAAAGGGAATGTGCAGCCACGCCTCCCCAGTCGCAGGAAAGCTCGTCGTATTTACATGCTGAGTATACGGTCACACTATGTTGAACCTTCCGTGGGTCTAGGGGTCACTTTGGAACAAAGTGAACTCTCTACATGCTGAGCTCTCACTTGCACTCTCCCGCCATTCTAGAGAACGGATTTCATGACTAAAATATTCCAAGTTTTCTGAGTTTATGACTTTCTTTTATTTATTGTTAGCCAGCTTGCGGAACACTATAATGGAGGTTCTGCAAGGGCATAAAGGGCGACGGTCTGGCAGCGACTAACCAAATTACCATGAGAGCCTTTTGAATCCATATGGCCAACGCTTGCACTTCGTCCTCTCCTATGGCTATTTATGCCTGTTTTTATAGGACTTTTTTCCAGTAATCGACTATTTAGTAATAAGCTTTGTTACCATATGACGCGGTCATTATGAAAAGGAAAAGAGAGTTCGAGTCGTATTCTTACGTCTTATAAGTAACGCTCACTGTCACACTTCCAGCCTGTTTGGGATTATAAAACACCGGTCTATTCATTAGCCATCACATCCTGGTCATCTAATGGACCATCATGATCTTCTTTTACCAGTTTCCCTCGATTTTCACCCGAAGCTGCTGTTTATTTCACATTCGCAGCTTTCCGCTTTCCCGTCGCGCTCTCTCTCCTCCTCCTCCTCTTCGCCCCTCACGCCTTATCCACTTATGCCAGACCCCGCCCAACGCTTTTGTTTCTAAGCGTGCTACCAGAATACCACCCATACACACATTCATCGGCACAACCACCGCCACGGCCATCTACCACCCGCTTCTGACCTCTACTGATCGATAATGTGATCGTGAAGATGATCCACATCTTCTGGTTTCTAACGTCAGATGTGCTGACAGCAACCGCCATCGTTCCTAGCGATTCTCAGCAACTGCAGCAGCCTTGTAGGCGCTATTCGATCTCGAATCGACCGTCACAAGACTGCTCATCGTTGAATCTCTCAGCATTGCCTTCACTTTTCATGGACGTGATTTCGCTGAACTTGGCCCACAATTCTCTCCCAATAATCGATCGATTCCCAAGAAATTACAGCTATTTGCACACATTGAGGCTTGAAAACAGTGGAATAAGGAAGATTTCCGTGCAGGTTCGTCTCCATTTCATGTCTACTTTCTCTATTTTGCGAGGATACTTCATTGCAATGTCATATATAATTCATAATTTTCATAGCATGAAAACTATGAACAGTTTCCAGTAGGGCATTGAAAATAAAGGGTGTTTGAACGAAGGCTCGTTCGTCTAACCCGTAGGAATGCAAATTATAGGGATAGCGATTACACAGCAATGGGGCAGTTAATTTTTTCCTTGCTTGCACAGCGGCTGGAAGCTGTCCACTTTTCCAGATTCCAGCTAGTTTTTGATGGGAATTTGTCAGCACGGGTAGATTTGGTGGGCTGAGCTCTTGTACTAGGTGACGTTGACCCGCTGAACACGAATCACGTCAGCAATGCGTGAACGCCTGCGCTACAGCGCTGGCTCTAAAACTACATGGCGCTAGGGCCCGTGTGCCATGCTTTTCACTTCCGCGATGTGATACCCATGGTCGGGGAGCCAAGCACGTTTTGAGAACGTTCTGGCCAGGTACACCTCAGAATAAATCGATCAGAAGGCCTGAATTCTGAAGCGTTGGGCAGTAATGGGGAAGCAGTGCCAAAATTTGTACTCACAGTCACTGGAAGGGGGTTGCTGTCGCTTGCTATCTTCATCAATCGTTGTTCTTGGGATGGTCAACAACAGCGGGTGTGGCACCACTTGGAAAAAAAGCCTCAGAAGCTCAAAAGCTCAAAAAATGCCGGCCTTCCTGAGACGTGGCGTCTTTACAGGATTCGATTTGGTTAATCTCTCTTACTATTAGGTTAGTTAATGACCGGCGGAAAAACAGGAAGTGTCTGAGCCACACCTTGGCAGCTCAAAGTCCACTAAGGACACCAATCTCACTACTGCAGAGCCGATGAACGGCCAGAGAGTGCATACAAGACTGAGAGAACTACACCTGGAAGAATCACAACTAGCCAGCACATACGATTGTGCTGACCGGTTACGTACTTAACTGATTCTGAAAGAGAACTGAATGTGTTGGCGCATCTCCAAAGATCGATCAGCACATCATTTTATCCTTCACCCTACTCATCAATCGACGAGGAACTTGGGTGGTTTTCAAACGCGCTCTCACGACTCTCGTCTTCCTCTTGGAAAGCCGCACGAATAATGCTGCTGATGAATGTTTCAAGCGGCTTTCCAATGGTCGTTCAGAGGCGACGCGATTTCGGCCTCACTCTTGAACCACCCAAAAAGATGCGCTTTAAGAGTGGAAGTGCACGAATGGAGCTGGAGCAAATGACCGACTGTCAAAAGAACTTTTGGAATACTCCGGATAATTCATATACCTGCTCCACAATATTAGTGCTGTGCTTTCAATGTCCCTAAAGAAATCTTTTACAGGCGTGTTCTGGTGAAAAATTTCGCCTCTTCACAGCATTGAGAAATAGGGGTTTCATGAATCATTCTCTAGCATATCTCGGCGATTCAATACATTCCCTGCCCACTGGGTAATAGGTTAGTGTAAGCAAGGAGAAGCCAGAAAATCCTGAATGTTTGCACGTATGAGATCCATTAGCAAGCAGCGGAAAGGCAGTATAAAAAGTAATTCAGGAAGTCAGCTGAAAACTACTTTTACTCTATAAGTCTGCAGAAAGTTAGCCCTCCTGTTCAACCTTACGCAATTATTTCTGAGATTTTCTGGCCCTGAAAACGCTCTTCTCCCGAAATGGGAGCCTATAGTCTTCCTGTTTTCAAGGCGAGCAGCCGCCAGTTGGCGCTTCACTTCCGGTGGCCTGGGAAAGAGGATAATTTTGGCTATTCCTATCAAGGAAACGTTAGCCCGCCGTTCGTCATGTGAGCCTGTTCAACGGTCCAAACTGGCTCTGAGATTTACGTAAGACGATTAGGTTTTTATTTGAAATTTTTATTGCCGACTCGACAGGTTTCAAGTCAAGTGACATTGAGCCGTCCACCAAACATACTGCAGACTAATCCACAGTGCCAAAGGATAAAACAAAGCTTCAAGCCGTGGATCAATAAACATTGTTTTCGATTGCCAATATGGCCTATACAACGGCTGCAGGGTGCCAGACGATGTACAAGTCAGGGTTCACCCTCCCAGACAAGTCTAGTGCTTACTAACCGACCAAGGAGGTTTGGAAGCAGATCTTGATTGATATGAGCGGATAGGGCTATGTAAGAGATTTCACCCCGGATCGAATGCGCGGTAAGTCTAGCAATCTGCATGTACACTATCTTGGATCTTCCAACCAAAACTCCTAGATACTTGAGTGAGGCCTACATACCTTTCTTTGGAAATTGTAATACGTCAGGCACAATTTATCTAATGGTATGAGACGTTGCTACCACTATCACATTCACGGCCAGTGGATCAAATTCCACTGGAGTCAGCTGGACTTCCAACCTTCCAGAGCCGCTTTTTTCGTTGAGTTTCCTTTGTAACCATTAAAAACTGACCTGACTTGTTTGGTAACTTACTCGAATTGTCTTGAACGAGTCTATGTTCGGGTTACCCACACCAATTTACACCACTATGAACTTAGACTTCTCTCATTCTTCAAAGAAGTCAAATGCGCTCTCAATGAATTTACCCATACCCTTCAATAATCTGAACTGCTTTTGAAGACAGCTGAGTGGGTGAGAAGGTTTAGTATAGAAATAATTTCAGGCTCTCTCCTCACTTGACAATATTCGTGTACTGGATCTGTCTCGAAACCAGCTGAGAAGTATTACATTCGGTGCGGGACCCAAGTCCATAACCACCTTGAATCTTGCACATAACTCCCTCAGGTAAGTGGGCAATTCAGCTTCATTTCATATGTGTTCGTTGGCTACGGAGAAGCGATATATTAGGTCATCCCATTCAAAAGTGCCGTCGGTTTTTTCGAATAAATCAAAGAGGAGGATAGGTAAAAAAGTAATATTTCGGCTTTTCGAGCTTAAGTAAATCCCTCCTTCACCAATGATCTGCTCCCAGTGCCCCGAAAGCCTTTGGACCTCTGGTACCTTCGATTTTTCAACAAGTGCGAGTAAATTGCTGTTGATGCCAATTTCGGCAAATGACAAAACATTGTAGCGTCTGCCGTCGAAGAGTACTCTCTACTGAATAGAACAGTTGTAAATCGCTCGCTTTATTGTTCGGGCCTGCGAATGGAGTGATTGAACCCAGGTACTCAGTATTTGTTTTTTTTGTCCCAGCACAGCCCTAGCAATACAGTGTTACTCGGGCGTCGTGGCACGATCGAGCAACTGTGGCCTTTTTGTAGTTGTGTGGTATGATCCATTTGTCGATCTGATTGCCGAGGAACAGGCAAGTATACACCGACAGCTACGATTTTATTTTCTGTATAGAGCCGCCTGAAAGCCTCAGTGTAGGAATCCTTCGCTATGATGATCATCCACTTGCGCCCACGTAACCCTCATGGTAGAACTCGGGCGGCTTCTCATCTGCATTCATACAAAATTGACGATTGTGAGTTTTGGCTCGAGGTCCAAGACCACCCATATTTCATCTAAGGCCGGGGTGCGTTTTCACAGTCGTGAATGACATTTCATTGCGGAGAACATTACTGCTAG